CAGCCGCCCGCCGCCACCGCCTCCCCCCGGCACCTGCGTGGCCGCGCCGAGCGGCGGCGCACGTGGAGGGGCTCCCGGCGCGGCGCTGCCGGCTGCGCTGCCCGGGCGGATCGCGAAGAGGAGCGCGCGCAGGGGCGCGGCCCACGGCAGGCGGAGCGCCGGCGGGAAGAGCGCGCCGGGCGAAGCGAGCGCCCGGGACCCTGAGTGCGCCCCGCGAATGCTCGTAGGCGGAGCGGGCCCGCGGGCCCCGAGCGGCGCGGCCGGTTTTTCTGGCCGCACGTGGCTGGGAATGGGCCTTTGCAGGGCCGGGCAATGCGTGGCCATCCAGATGTTGGCCGTAGCTCCTTTCGTCTCTCACCCATTGGCTGGGGCTGATGGGACCTGCAGACCAACAATATTTGGGAGACCGCAAGTTCCCCGCATGGCGCGTGTGTGTCCGGGGGGATGCTGAGTGCGTTAACTCCTCGCTTGCCCTCGCGCCGCACCCGCGCCCTTCCCTTCCCTTCCCGCGTGGCAATGCGGACTAGATGCTTTTCCTATTGTAGAATGAGCAGGACAGGCTGGGAATGCTGGGAACTGTAGGCCTTAATGTTCACAGGATCAAGCCCTTAGGGCGGTACCCAGGCTGCTGGTGTGTAAGTGAGACACACCGTTTGTGCAAGAGAGAGCTAGCAATAAAAAAGGGGGGGGGGCGGGATCCGAAATGCATGGAAACACTAATTTTCAGAACACAGGGCCGGCAGAAGAAAGTCCGCGGACAGGCCCCAATTTGGAAACCAGCGTTTCTTGCTCGCTTCTGGGGTTGCTTTTTGCCTGAGGGGTCTGCTTGTGCAAGAGACGAGCAGGAGCGCAGCACCAGGCGGGTTCCCCGATATTTAATGCGGATTGGCGCCTTGCAGCCTGGGGCCAGAGGCACTGGAAGCCGCGCTAACAACGAGCCGTGTGAACGGATTGCGGTGCCCTGGAGTGACAGAATCCCGGAAGAGCAGAGCTGGAAGGGGCCCGAGGGCCTTCTGCCCCAGCGCCCTGCGTGGTGCAGGATTCCCAGTTAATCCTCTCCTACAGTTGGATGTCCAGCTGCATCCAGAGTGACTCCAGTGAGGAAAAACCAGCACCTCCCCGCCAGGTCATCGGTTCCATTACGGTACTGCTCTAAGAGTCAGGAAATTTTTCCTGATGTTTGGCCAGAACCTGGCTCACAGTAACTTGACCCCTTTCTTTCTTTATTTAGAATTTTGGTATGCCATCCCATCGCTTATAGCCTCGGGGCGGCTCACATAAATAAACATAATACATAATAAAATAATACAATTAAAACCCAGAATCACCCTGGCTGCAAAATTAAAACCTATAGATATTATTAAGAGTTGTTAAAATATTGTTTAAATGAAAAGGTCTTAGCTGGCGCCGAAAAGCAAATAACGACGGTGCCAGGAGGACCTCTTATTATTCTGTGTCCTGCATTCAGTGATGATCAAGAAGAGATCCTGACCTTTAATGAAAAGTGGAAAATGTACCATGCACCACTTATCTTTTAATGGGAATAATAATAGGAAATCTACATATAAATAGGGTGGAGTTTTTGAAAATATTTTCAGATTAATGTTTATACTAATACTTTGTTGTTATAGCAAGGAGAGTTATATAAATGGAAGATAATTTTTGAAAATAATGTTAGAGATCAGCTCTTGTACTGATGTTTTATTGTTACAGTAAGTTGAGTTGAACAGAAAGATTTAAGTAAATGACCATTGTGGCTAGTGTAAAAATTGTCTTAAAATGCAAAGTAGAAGAAAATTCAATCATTGAAGACTGGAAAAATAAGTAAGTTGACTGTGCTGTAATGGTAAGACTAACGGACTAAGATAACTAGCCAAAGAAATTAATGTGGAAATTGTATTAATTATATAAACTGTATTCATTTCCACTAATGGGGATAATGACAGTAGAGAGGTATGTATATAAAGGGAATGGAAATTTGGGGAAAATTGTATGAGATTGATGTTTGTACCCATACGTCGTCGTTTTAGGAAGTTGAGCCAAGAGGAATAGAGAAAAAGTTGAAGAATTGCAATTTAGAAGTATTTTCAATGATTTTTAATTAAGTTCTTTAAAAATGTGATTGAGTAGAGAGGGATAATGATTACTGACTTACAGCAAAATCTTTTCTATTTGATGTTCTGTGAAGTATTTTTTTTTTGAGATTCTTTGGTGTTTTTCTATTATATCTCATCTTTAAACTTTACTGTTATTAAAATAATAATTAAAAATAGGACAAATAAGAGGTCCTTTCAACGACTTGAAGAATGCTATCTTATCTGCCCCCAGTCTTCTCTTCTTGGGGGTAAGTTCGTAGATGCGAATGAGTTCGTCCATCGTTTTCGACGAGGACCTTGACATCTAACGGGTTGTGAGCTGTCCACGGTGTGTCCGCAGGTGGCTGATAAGGCCAATACGGGCACGGAGCGTTCTGCCACATGTCGGGCAGACATGTGTGGGCACCGCTGTTGCAGCGTTTGCAACTCTGGCTTTACGGTGCGCTCGCTTCTCTTGCGCTACGGTTGTCCTTCCGGCTTCAGAAGCTTGGCGGCCTTGGTGGATCCGCGTGCGCCATGTCGATCGGTCTTGTGCCAGGGTCTCCCAGGAGGTGGTGCCGATGACCAGGGACTTGAGAGAGGCTTTCAGCGTGTCTTTGCATCGCTTCTTTTGCCCCCCGTGCGATCGCTTTCCTTGAGACAGCTCACCATAGAAGAGCTGTTTGGGGATGCGGTGGTCCGGCATCCTTGCAACATGGCCCGCCCAGCGTGTCTGGGCTTTCATCAGCAGGGTGTGAACTGACGGCAGGCCTGCTCTGGAGAGGACCTCTGTGTCTGGCACCTTGTCCTGCCACTGGCTCCTCAAAAGTCTGCGGAGGCAACTCGTGTGGAAGTGGTTCAGTTGCCTAGCGTGCCTCCTGTATACAGCCCAAGTCTCACTGGCATACATCAGGGTAGTTAGCACTACTGCTTGGTAGACTTTAAGCTTTGTAGCAAGGCTTATTCCACGGTGGTGCCACACTTTGGTCTGCAGTCTGCCAAATGCAGAGCTTGCCTTGGCGATTCTGCAGTTGCCCTCGATGTCAGTTGTCACTGCGCGGGAAAGGGTGCTGCCAAGGCATGTAAATTGGCCCACTGCTTGCAGCTTTTGTCCCTTCACTGTGATGGGGGGCTCTTGGTATTGGGCTTTCGGAGCTGGCTGATGCATCACTTTGGTTTTCTCTGTGTTGATGAGGAGGCCAAAGTTGTTGCATGCTACTGCAAATTTGTCCATGCTGGCTTGCATTTCCTGCTCTGATCCAGCATTCAGGGCAATACCGGTTGTGCAGCAGCCATCTCATTCTGCAGCAGCATCAAAAGAAAATAAAACTTAGCACCACACTTGGTAAAAGAAGAAATGAAATTCAGTAGCAGCAATTTAAACCTATGAGGCCACAGAGTTCATTTAAACAATAAAGAAAAGATGATGTATATATTACTTGGAAAGGAGTTCAAAAGCTATGGGTCACCACTGAAAAAACCCTGTTTCTTCAAGGCCTGCTTTCTCTAGGCTGGCTCACAGTTGGAGCAAGTAAAAGGACCCCAAAGCTGCAAACTTTGGGGTGGGGGAGTGGAGTTACCAGGAAGACATACAGGTGGGTCCTAGATCAATTCAAACCAGAACTTGCCCTGGAAGCAACCATGACAAGACTGGAGCCGTCCTACTTTGGACCCTCATGAGAAGGCAAGACTCCCTGGAGCAGACCAGGGAGTCGAAAGTCGAAGGCAAAGAAGAGGAAGGCCAAATAGGAGATGGACTGATCCTGTAAAGGAAGCCGCAGCCTGGAATTTGCAAGAGCTGAGCAGGGCGGTCGAGTAGAGGACATCTTGGGGGGCTTTGTTCACAGGGTTGGCAACTCGACAGCACAAAGCAACAGCAGTTGCTGACATGTGCCGGACAGCATCTCTGCCTGACTCAAGTTTTTCTCACAAATACATTTTTTGTCTATAGTGCTTTTTCTTACATGCTCACAAGACTTCCCTCCTGAGAAGGGTGCTCCTTTCCCTGCCTTCTCCCTGCAGGGTGGATTGTGTCCTGCTCACACTTAGTGTCGTTTTCCCTCGATTGTCACGTCACAATTTTAATATGGTGCCCCTCTGTTCAAACTACATTCCTGACACAAACGGTGGTTGGCTTGCCCTTGGACCAAACGAAACTGAAAGAGGAATAAAATCTACAGAACTGGTGGATTTGACTGGGTTGGGTGAGAGTAAATATATCCGTGAGACTAAAGCATTGCAAAGAAGGCTTTGGAGGGGGTTGGGCAGTGGGTCAGATTTGCATCGTGAATGCTTTGATGCTCCCCCTGAACAGCAGAGCACACAAGAATAGGCCAAATTCTCGGGGATCTGTGCACTCGCAAGCACAACTAACGCAATGGAGATTTTGTGCTTCTAAACCTGACCTGAAACGAGCAAAATGCTCGTTTCTAGGAAGGGACAAGACAGTGGCGCTCAGGGAAGGGGGTTCTGCTGACTTGTTCTGATCTTGGGCTTGGAATGGGCTTCCAAGAGAAGAGATGGAGGCCCCATCAGTGAGGGTGTTCAAGGAGAAATTGGGCAGCCACATGCTGGGGATCACAGGGGTGGAGCCTGCTGGAGCTTGGGGTCAAACTAGATGGTCCAGGGCTGCCTTGTTCCTTTGTTTCTATCTGGAAACGAGCACGGCATGGGTTGTGGGGTTTTCTGTGGAAGCTCAGAAGCTCCATTGTGTGGGCGACCTCTCAGGAGTGCAACGGAACCAGCAGAGGCCAAACGGAGGAAGAGGAAGCCCAAGCAGGTCCTGGAGGTCCACCGGATCCTGCCCATCATGAAATG